CTGGTCAAATATCAACCCAGGTTGCTTACTATAAACTATTAAATGCCAAATTAAATAAAATATTAAATGCTCCATCATATAAAACAAATTGTGCACATATAATGTAGAAAGTAATAAAATAATGAAATGCAGAAAGCGATGGTAAATAACTTAATTAAATATTGATGTTTTTACCAATAATTGTCTCAACCAAATGTTGACCACTGGTCAATAAAAAAAACATCTGTTTATTTTTCATTGCAATTAATTTAGTAAGTAAAACTTGTTTGGTATAGTTATGAAATTTTAATAAATACTTTAAAATATTAAATAAAAAGTCAGACTATGATTCTAAATTTCCTCATTAAATTTATCTACTAATGATGTGCATTTGACACTGTTTTTTATATCTGTTTTAGAAAAGACTACTATCCAATTCATTGTGATAATTCTAAATAAATTATTCAAGACAACTTAAAAAATATATGTATATTTTTAATTTAAAAAAAAAATAGCCTATACATCTGCATTTTTATAATTCAACTCAGGTAAATGCTCCCTTCTTCTTGCATTCCTGATTCATATAATTTGCAATTTTTTAAAGTCATCTGTTAATCATTACCTTTCTTTATAAACTTCACCTTTTTTCTTCCAGTAACTTCCAACTCTAATAGTGGTTGCTTGCAGTCGTTACTTTCAATTGCTTAACACAATGTAGGGTGGGAATAAAAGGATGTATGAGAGTTTTTATCCAAATGTAATGAATTAGGAGATGGAAAAAGAGTTGGTTTATTGTAATAAAGATGATAGCTTCTTTAAGCATTGACCATTATTAGAGAAACAGCATAAAAGAGGAAGGTTAAAGCATGCTGCTGCTGCTGCTGCTGCTACTGCTGCTGCTGATGATGATGATGATGAAGATGATGATGATGATGATGATGATGATGATGATGATGATGATGAAGATGATGATGAAGATGGCAATGATGATGATGATGATGATGATGATGATGATGATGATGATGATGATGATGATGATGATGATGATGATGATGATGACAATGATGATGATGATGATGATGATGATGATGATGATGATGATGATGATGATGATGATGATGATGATGATGATGATGATGATTAAAATGATGATGAAAATAATGATGATGATGATGGTGATAATGATGACCAGACTTATTGTTTGTAGGTAAATATAAAAATTGTAGTTTTTGTAGGTATATTTAAAAATACCTTATCTGCATAAGGTATTTTTATACATAAGGTATTTTTATGTTTTGTTTGAAGGTTGAAAAGAAAAGAACAGAAGGTAAAAAAATTGTAGCATTTGTAGATTAAAAATACTATTTAATATGTTTAAACAAAAAAATATGTTTTGTTTAAAGGTCGAAGGTAAAAAAATTGTAGCATTTGTAGGTAATTATAAAAATACTATTTAATGTGTTTGTAGGTAAACATCAAAGACGAGAAAACAGCAACTATATAAAATAGATTTTTTAATAATTATAATTAATATTTTTTTTAAACGCATATATAACATTATCTAATAAATGTAATGATTGTTACGCAAAACAATTCAGAATAGCAATTGATCTCCTCATAATAAATATAAAGACAAAACATTACATGGTACCAGAAGTGAACTGAAGACATTTTAAAAAGAGATTTTGGAAAAGTACTTACTTTAAAAAGAAAAAGAAAATGAAACACTTTTTGCCAAAGCCAAATGAAATGGACTTCAATGAATCCAATATAGCTGTTACATGAAAAAATGGAAACAAACTATGCAGTTGTATCTAAAACCAGCAATGACAAATAAATCTGAGGAAGAAAAATACGCGACATTCTTATTTGTGATTGGTGAAAGAGGAAGAGAAATATTCAATACGTGGACTTGGAACAAAACAAAAAATGACGACGGTGAAATCGATGACATCACGGTAAAAGAACTTTTTGAAAGATTCGAAGAATACTATTTACTGAAAAGAAATCTGGTTTTGGAACAAAGAAAGTTTTTCTTACGAAAACAAGATGTCAATGAATCATTTGATTTCTTTGTAACTGATTTTAAAAATCTGGCTCAAACCTGCGAGTTTGAAAACATTCAAGATGGTATGATATTATACAAAATAATTGACGGAATCAAATCAAACAAAGTCCAAAATAATCTACTTAGAAAAGGAGTGGATTAAACTTCAACTAAAGCGATTGACATATGCAGAGCTGAAGAAGTTGCAAATGCAGAAATGAAACAAATTACAAACGAAAAAGATATTGACGTGGTAAAAAAATTCATAAAACCAAGACAAGCAAATGCGTCAATAGGACAAATACCAAAATGGACAAAGTTCTCAAATAACGAAAATGAGTCAAAAGGCAAAGACCGGGTTGAACCAAACAAACAAAACTGGAAACAAATCAATAATGGCTCAAATAAAAAAACAACAACAAAGACAGTGCAAGAAATGCAATAGAAAACATGAACCAAGAAACTGTCCTGCATTCGGTCAAATGTGCCGTAAATGTAATAAAATAAATCATTGGGCAATTTGTTGCAACTCGAAAAACATACACGAAAATTGCGCTGTAGAATATCATGTGGAATCTGTATCATCTGGTGAAATGAATGGTAAAAATGAAGCTTTGATAATCTTTAAAATTAAAAATAAATTGGAAAAATCGACACTGGAGCTGAAGCTGATGTTATGCCAAAAAGAGTCTACGACCAACTAACATCACGTGATATTCTCACTTATACAAATGTTAAACTATGTGGTTTTGGAGGAAATCATACTCCAGTGCTTGGAACATCAAAGATGGTGTGTCACTACAAAAGTTGTAAAAAGTTGGTTAAATTTTATGTAGTTGAAACAACAAGCAAACTCGTTCTTAGCTTACAAACTTCACAAGACTTAAAAACTATCAAACTACTAAATGAAGTAAAAACTGTAAACACGAACGAGGCTAATAAAATTATTGAAGAAAATAAACATAATCAAAAAACTGAAGAAGAAATCCCAGAAGATGAAATGATTGCTCAAGTGCATATGGTTTACGCAAACTGTTCATCATCAGAAGAAAACCTCAAAGAAATAAAATCAAACACGCTCAAAGATATTACCTTAAATGTAGTAGCAAACTACATAACAAATGGATGGCTGCAGGATAAAAGAAAGGTTTAAGACTCAGTAAAACCCTATTGGTCGTAGAAAGAAAAACTGACACTCATAGAAGGAATAGTTTTTAAAGGACAAAGAATTTTAATTCCAACATCAATTCAAAAAGCAACAATTCAAAAACTACATCTTGCACACATGGGGATTGAAAAAACTAAAATGAGAGCAAGAGAAACTGTATTTTGGCCAGGCATTAACAAACAAATTGAAGATTCAGTAAAGTCGTGTGAAACATGTCTGGAATACACAAAAAAACAAACTAAGGAGTTAATAATATCAAGCAAAATACCAAATCACCCGTTTCAAACTGTGGGAGCGGACTTATTTCACTGGAATAATCAGGATTTCATAATAGTGGTTGACTATTATAGTCGTTATTGGGAAATCGAAAAGTTACATAATACTTAATCTCAAACTGAGATAAAGAAACTAAAAATGATCTTCTCCAGACTTGGTATACTGCAGATAGTACGGAGCGACAACGGCACACAATTCACATCTTCAGAATTCCAAAAATTCAGTAAAGAGTGGGAGTTTAAACATATAACTAGTAGCCCTTAGTATCAACAATCAAATGGAATGGCTGAGAGACGTGTGCAAATAGCAAAAAAATTGCTAAACAAAGCAAAAAGGTCAAATCAAGATCTGTACATAGCTCTACTAGAAGTAAAAAACACTCCTGTTGACGGTCATCACCTGCTCAGCTCTTAAGTAGAAGAAGATTGAGATCAACACTTCCTACTTCTCTGTCACTACTTCAAGTAAATCCAATCGATGTAAATAAATTTAAGAAAAATCGTGAAAAAGTTCAAAACTTACAGAAGAAATATTATGACAAAAACGCAAAAAACACTGGAAAATGTAAGCAATGGAGACTGTTCGTATACATGATGGAATTAAATGGCAACCAGGAAAAATTGTTGAGAGCAAACAGCAACAAAGTTTCAATGTAAAAACCCTAAATGGAAATATTATTAAAAGAAACAGAAGACATCTACTAAAAACAAAAGAAGAAGTTATTGGGATGTCAATTTATCAGACAATGAAAGCGATATCAATGAATAAAAAGACATACTCATGGGTAAAAGAAAACTGTTGAATAACACAAACATTAATCCAAACACAAATCAAAATGAATTATTAGACCACGACATTATTGTCACGCAATCAGGAAGAATTTTGAGAAAGCCAAAACATTACATTGATTACGAAATGCATTTTTAAAAGAAGGAAGGTGTAATGATTGTTACGCAAAACAATTCAGAATAGCAATTAGCGATTGCAAAACAAGCAATTCCCTTTTGTGAATTGCACAAAAACTTATAGCGAAAGTATTCCCTTGAGAGAATTCCGCATGAGGAATTCTCGCTTAAAAGCCAGTGCGCTGAATTTAATTACAGTTAAAGTTTCAACGCGAAACTATACAGAGTTTTATTTTTAAACTAGTTGTGATAATTTAATATGAAAATTAATATAAATTAATAAATATTAAATAAAAACCATAGTCGAATTCTCCTCATAATAAATATAAAGACAAAATATTACAATAAACTTTACAAACTTGCAAAACAGGTACAAACAGCAAAACAAGTACATTATAAAAAAGATTGTTATTAAAAAAAAACTAATTAAAAATTATTTCTTCAATAACATTATTTATTAAAAAAATATTTTTTCACTTTTATGTTAACTCTTCATATAATTTTTAATTTCTGATTAACCTTGTTACAACTATTAAAATTAAAAAAATTAAAACATATTTAAAACGTTTAATTTAAAAACCAAGATAAAAATTTGATAAACAACAACAGAGTGGATTATACTTACTTTTCCATATTGAGCTCCAGCATCTAAAATAGCAACTTTCTCTATGTTATCGCCAGTCATTTCAATGTCATTGTTCATTTTAATGAAATGTATTATGTGTATTTGAAATAATAATACTCTTTAAACAAATGCTCTAAAAAAAATCAAATATAAAAAACTACTGTTATTAATAAAACCAGCTTATGAGCATATAACGTTTTTTTTTTTTTTTTTACTATTTTTGTTTGTGCATAAATCAACATCAAATAATTAAACTCAAAAAATTAAAATAATTAAACTAAATATTCAAAGAGCCATATAGAAGATTATGAACTTTAAAATTTGAAAAGATTTTCAACGTTAAGAAACTTTTACATTTGAACCTCAAGAACAGGCATGGTTACTTTGGATTAGGGTAGTCAATCCCAAAAACTTGTATATATATATATATATATATATATATATATATATATATATATATATATATATATATATATATTTGTGAAATATGCATGAATACAAATTAAGTAAAGGGAATTACTTTTTAAGGGTAATTCTTACCCCACAACAATCATTTGAATTTTTTAATATTTGAAATAAAAATGGAAAATCTAGACAATTAATTTGCTTTTGAAGGCCAATTCAAACCATTTTCACGAAAACTTGTAAGACTTTCTAGACCACATTTTTTTATTATAAATAACATAAAAAAAGAGTGAAGCACCTATATTTTTTTGTTTAAAAAGACATTTTTTTTTTCAAAATAAAAATATTATAGCTAAGCAAAACCCCTGAATATCCAACTGACAAAAATTATTCAAAGTTGATATACTTGTTTAAAAAATCTGATGCATTTAAAAAATAATTATGATTTTCATAAATGTTATTTGATTTAAAGTCTTTGCTAAGCAGCTTATTTATTTAGATTTACATATTTTAGAATTTCAGACAAGTTTATACAATAGCTACAGTTAAGCGGCTATACCAGATAAGGGCAGATTTGAATTTTAAATTGAAATTTAATTGTATATGCTAAAATAAGAATACCTAGTTTTAATCTTACAATTTATAGAAATGAAGTAATTTCTTTTCTTAAAGATTCAGAAAGTTTTTCATAAAGAGAAAAGTTATTAAAAAAAAAGATTAAGGTGGTAGCAGGGTAAAAACGCTTTTTTTTTAAAAAGTCAAAATAATTCAATATGCTTTATTGTAATGAAAAATACTAATAAAAAAAAAACATTTAACACTATTTGCATAAAAAATTAATAATGACGTCATCAATTGTACACGTCATGAACAGATTTTTGCCTTAATTTTATATGTTTCTTCCAACAAGGATAACTTAATGAAAAATGATCAGAATCACTTTTAATTTTCTAATTGCAATCTTTATTAGTAATACTATGTTCTGAGCGAAACAGAAAATAATTTTTTTTTTTGTAAACGCGCCAGGTTTACTGTCAAACTTCAAATTTCAAAAAAAGTAAAATATGTTTATGTAAAAATAGCACTGCTGGCTATGTTTTTATAAAAATTTAAAAAGTGCTTCGCTCAGAACACTCTAAATAGAACAATGTAACACCAAAAAAAAAATTCAGCTTAGTAGCTTTATCCAATCAAAAGTTATCTTTGTTAAAAGACCACAAAAATTGGGAAAAATTAAAAGCAAGAAAAACCTTAAAGAAAAAATAAATAAAATTAAATGAAACAATAAAACTCAAAAACCAAATTAAAATGCTCCACTAGCATATGTCTCTCCTTCCTCAAGTTCATTTTTATCATTATGACCTTTTCTAATTGAAAGAAGTTTCTTTCTTCTTTTTTTTACTGAGCTAGTTGACTTTTTCTCAGATTGTTTGACACGACAAATATCAGATAATCTAAAACCTTCTTTAGTGAAATACCCATTGTCTATGCCCAGTTTATTAAAAACTGGAAGCAGTCCTTGGGCACCGTCATTGTATGCAATAACAGCAGATGCAACTGCAGTTTTAAAAACATCATTTCCAATGTATACCCTTTTTGGGCACCGTGTCCATATCAAATTGTTCAAAGACTCATTGACATTCTGGGTCTCACCATGTAAACATTTTGTCAGAAGTTCATCACTACCAAGACCTCTGTGAGAAAATATTGGAGCAATAACATCAGAAACAGCTTTATGAATATTGACTTTTTCTTTATATGTTTTTGCTCCTGTGATTTTATCACTTTGGTATCTGCACCAAGAATCAGAGCTACGTGGACAGAACTGATGTCGGTTTTCTAAATTTGGCTCATCTGTTGCGTGATGTAAAACCGCATCAACAGCCTTTTTCATCCCATACAGGCTGCCACTATTTTGTCGTATGGCCATTCCAACATGATTTTGAAGAGTGTTCATGACTTTAGTAGTTAGCCGACCTTTCCCTCCCCCAATGCTTTTACCATCAGTCAACTTTTTTCCCTTGTAATCGGCTTTAAGTTTACGCAGTCGTGTTCCAACACGTTTTTGGACATGTCCTATACATTCTCCTTTGGTAATGCTATGACCTGGATATGGATCTGATTTACATATTTCTTCAAAGGATTTTGTATCACCATCTCCAATAAAAAATGTGTATCTTAAACAATGAAGACGTACTGAACGTGCAAACATTCTTTTCATTCCTACAACTTCCATAGCTCCAGCACTGCCAATGTGATTTATTGAACATACATGAGTTTCTTTCCAGTTATTATATGCATCTACATTCACTTTTTTTAGTTTCCACATTTCACATTGTTTACATTTTTTAGATAACACTTCAGTATCGATGCATTTCCCCTCCGAAATTAGTGTAACTACTCCATTCAAGGAAGAGTATCCTCTTTTTTGCCAAGCACCGTCACCACTAACTTTAGCATCAATAACAACAGAATCATCTACAGTTTTGTTAAAATGTATTTGTTTGGAAGCTTCTTTCATTGACTCTTGTGCTGTTTGTACGTAGGCATTATGCAACTCGCTATTAATTTCATTATATGTTGTTTTGGCCATTGGTGATGGCATATTCATGCAAGAACAAAATGTTTTTATTGCACTAAAACCTTGACCGATCTCTCTAAATGCAGCAATTGTTTGTATATTAATTTCAAAACTTTTTTTTCTGGAAGTAGACTTAAATTTACTGCACTCTTTTGAAGAACAAAATGTTAATTTCCAATTACATTCGGTGCATGAAATATTAAAAAACTGGGCAAGACCCATTTTATTTGATAAAATATGTTCAATGTCTATTGTTGCAATACAAACAGGGCATCGTCCAACTATATTAATAAGAGACATAAAAAGATCACTGTCTATAAAAAAATTGCATCTAGGGGTGGCAATTGGAGTATGATTATCAGAAAATGAAACATTTAATTTTTTTCCAGACGCTGATTTTAAATCAGATTTATTTTGACTCAGTTCATTGTTTACTGTTGTTGATGTATTGTTTACTGTTGTTGATGTATTGTCAGTTAAAGCTCTTGTGGTAAATCCTTTCCTTTTTCTTGATCGTAATTTTTTATATCTTTTTTCAGAACCCATTCCAAGTAATAATAGCTTTATTAATTAAAATATATATATATATATTTTTAACTGAAGGATATAAGAATCTATAACACAACCTTTATTTAGAAGCTCTGAGTTGAGAACGGTTTTTGAGGCTTTAGTGTATAGCTTATAAACTGAATAAATAGAGATATTTAAAAGAATAAAAAGAAGCCTTTTAGGTGAAAACTAGAAGTTTTGATCAGGTTTTAATCCAGAGATATTTGAAAAAAAGCGTTGCTAAGGCGGTTGCTATGGCCTAAGAACTTAAATACCTTTATCTAGAAGGGTAAATTTTGTATGTATGCATAAGTTTTTTTAAATCAAACCAAGTTTCCACAAAAAATAACACCCTAAAGATCTCAAAAATATAGTTTTTGAAATTTTCAAAAAATTTCAAAAAACGCCTCTTTTTCACCCTGCTACCACCTTAAATGAAAAAAAAACCGGAAATAGACTTCAATAAAATGCTCTAAAATTTGATCGGAAGTTAAGCCTAGTTTTCCCGGGAAATTACAATAAGTGCCGAACATTTTGCTAATAATCATTGTTTCCGATTTTATAGAACACTTGAAAATTTTGAAAAAACCATTTTCTATCAGCAAGATTCTCCTGTAGCCAGTGCCGGATCAAGGGGGAAGGGCTAGGGGGTTATAGCCCCAGGCCCCTCAAATTTAGAGGTCTCCAAAAATTTTAGAGGAACTTTTTTTTTTTTTTTTTTTGTGTGTGTTACTCAATTTTAGGCTCTTGCCCATAAAAAAGCCTCCAAAAATAAAAGTAGCCCCGGACCCCAAGAAGTCTTAAAAAGATTAAAAGATGGAAATTGCTTTAGTTATCTTTTTAATCAAATGTCGTGTTATGATTCGAAGCAAGAAAAGAAGCTTAAATTAACATATGCTTTTAAAATAAAGTGGTTCTATTTAAATACCGAGTTTTAATAAACCTTTTGTAAAATAACTACAATTACTAATGGTTAATACTATGTAGCGTATCTTTTCAATAATTATATAAATGTTTTAATAAAATTATTTCAGTAAATTTGTGTTGTTTTTTGTCCAGCGAAACTCGTTTTTTTTTATTGTCGATTACAAGCATACTCTTAAGACAACTTGAAATTGGTTTAAAGTTTGCAAATAAAAATTATTACTATCCTATTCGTCTTTGTGAGTTCAAACAGCTTGTTTTTGAGTCATAAAGACATAACTAGTTAGGATGATCAATTCCGCGGAACAATTTTTTTTCAGAAGATTCAATCTATGGTCTTTTAGAAATGTTTCCTTAACTCTAAAATGAGCCAAAGAGCTTTATTTTCTATCACCAACACAATTTAATAGTTACCTAAAATTACCTAGACTTAAAAATGATATGGGTGATGCAATACCGAATTTTTTCATATAGCCCATTAGTATAATAAAATACTGTCAAAAAGTTATAAGAATCCATAAAAAATATATAACTAATAAAATAAATTACTGGTGTAATAAGAAAGTAAATTATTTTAACAATTAACAATATATTTCGCAATAACTATTTTGCAAATTTAAACATTCAAAGATTTATAAATATATGCAAATATGTACACAAAGATTTAATAATTAAT